GGTTTTGTTAATAGTGTGGATGGCGTTCTGGAGATCGTTAACCTCGTCATGCACACATGGAGGCGAGTTGACTAAATTCCCATCGGCAATATAAATTCTATCGCCTTCTCCCAAATCTCTATCAAGGCGGAAGAATGGGGAGTCTCTATATTCATTTATTCAATTGTCCGAGAGTTAATCGACCGTAACCACAAGCAGCCCAAGCTCACTACTAGAAAAGCGGACGTGACTCTTAACGCGTTGCGCAACGTTTTATATTTGTAAAGGTTTGTATGGGATGTTGTCGGTTTGCCTTAAAAGAAAGAAAAAAATGTCTTGTTTTGAAATAAAATGGGCTTACCTTATTGCTTTGTTGTTTTGTTTGTTGATTCCGAACGTCTCAGGCCATTTTAAATCGTTTTCGGTGAGTTAGCGCTATGTTGGTGTTCAACTGCTAAAAGAAAGGTAAGGCCGGAAACCTATTTTAGAAGTGTCCGTCGCCCGAAGCAAATAATTACGCCAAAAAATTACCACCAGTCTCGATTCCTCTAGAAAATCAAAGCAGAGATGTTGCAGTTTCATTTCCATTCACTCGATTCCCAATTCCTCCCACAGATCTTTCACTAGCGATGCTTTTATCTCCAGATCGATCGGCTTTCCAATTTCGAATTTGGCTGCTTGAACCATTTGCGGCCCGTTGGCCGATCGCACAGTATGTTGGGTAACAAAAATAAGCCCGGCGAGGGTAGCCAGCGACCTGCAGTCGACAAACAAACCAGTTAGCTCCCCTGGTCCCCTCGAGAGGTTTTGTCAAGACCGCATTGTTTTGATCGACCAATCAACATCGAATGGAAATGTGTGATCAAAACAATGCGGTCTTGACAAAACCTCTCGAGGGGACCAGGGGAGCTAACTGGTTTGTTTGTCGACTGCAGGTCGCTGGCTACCCTCGCCGGGCTTATTTTTGTTACCCAACATACTGTGCGATCGGCCAACGGGCCGCAAATGTTTCAAGCAGCCAAATTCGAAATTGGAAAGCCGATCGATCTGGAGATAAAAGCATCGCTAGTGAAAGATCTGTGGGAGGAATTGGGAATCGAGTGAATGGAAATGAAACTGCAACATCTCTGCTTTGATTTTCTGGAGGAATCGAGACTGGTGGTAATTTTTTGGCGGAATTATTTGCTTCGGGCGACGGACACTTCTAAAATAGGTTTCCGGCCTTGTCTTTCTTTTAGCAGTTGAACACCAACATAGCGCTAACTCGCCGAAAACGCTTCAAAATGGCCTGAGACGCTCGGAATCAACAAAGAAAACAACAAAGCAATAAGGTAAGCCCATTTTATTTCAAAACAAGACATTTTTTTCTCTCTTTTAAGGCAAACCGATAACATCCCATACAAACCTTTATAAATATAAAACGTTGCGCAACACATTAAGAGTCACGTCCGCTTTTCTAGTAGTGAGCTTGGGCTGCCTGTGCCGTAACATATATCTTTCCTCTCCATTTCCATCTCCTTTTGACAGATTTCGTGGAGGCGTCATTATGTAGTAGGTGCAATCGGCCATCCGTGAAAAGGAGGCATCACATATATTTGTGGAATCTGTAGTATTGATTACTAACGAAAAGAAAAGGAAAATGTCAACACTAACACCAATTCAAGAGTGAAAACGAAGTACGTGCGAAGTACGTGTTCGTTTCTACTCTATCTTGTGGGTCTAAAATGCTAAATAGAGCCTTCATCACGAAGACAACATTGAGTGAGCTCGATTTCGCAATCGAAAATGGACCGTAGATGAGATCCTTCAGACGGACATCGGACTACGCTTTCCAATTTCTCGATTGACGGAAAAATTCTCGATCGACAAAAAAATTCTCGATCGACAGGAAATTTCTCGATCATCAAAAAAATCTCTGGATCGACAAAAAATTTCTCATGGACAAAAAATATTCTCGATCGACAAAAAAAATCTCTATCGGAAAAAAAATTCTCGATGGACAAAATTCTCAATCTACCAAAAAATTCTCAACCGGTTTACCTACTAGAGTAAGGGAATGTCCAGACTTGGCTGCCCTTAGGCGCGCGTTGCATTCGTTTATGGCGACGCTTTAACTCGATTTTTAACAACTTTCGCTTATTAATTAGATAGTACATACAAATTAGATAATAAATAGCTTTTCAATATTATTAGCTCTTTAGTGATACGTGGGTAAATAAAGTATTATTATTATTATTATTATTATTATTATTATTATTAACCGGTGAAAAAAATTCATATCAAACTTACGGTATCCCATATAAAGCTGAATATATGCCTAAACTGGTCCCAAGCATCCATATTACTCACCTAACATACGCAGTTAATTAAATATGCAAAGAGCGCCAATTTTCTAAATAGCGGTCAACAGAGCAAAGCGGGAGTCTGTAAGAATCAAACATCTTGGGGAAATGAAAATGTTCAAACCCCCTTCAAATTTTGCGTGCAGTTAGGCACTCAGGGGGGATGCACAAAAATGCCCTTATTAAAGGTTGCAGCACTCTTGTTGCCATGGTAACAACGGCTGCTTGTTCGAGGCCTGGGCCTCATTTTCAAACAAAAACATCGCAAAAAAGTGCAAAATGTTTATTTCTCTATCTGAAGCTAAATACAACATTACAGATTGGTACCTCTAGCATACACAGTGACATCATTCGTCTTTACTTTGATGCATTGCATTTTTTCTGGGAGTGACTGTTAACACACCAATAGATTATTTATCTTGGTACAGTTTCGCTCATTTTTGCTGTTGGGTAAAAAAGGGAAAACGTTGGTCTAAATTTCTCCAAAAGTACACCGATTCTGGAACTGAAACTACGTGCTTAGTTGGTTCTAATATTGTAGTTTTTAAATATGTAAAAATCTGTGGGCCGGCCTCTACTTTTCATAGTAGTAATTCGCGAACGAAGCTCAAAAATCAGATATTGCATAAATTGGCAATCTTTACATCTAATGTTCTCAACAACAAACGTTTCAGACAAATGAAAAGTGCAAGACTTTGAAGGAATGTTATCTTCTGAGCAATATCCCGAAGAGAAATCTCGCCTCTAGCTCTAATATTTTAAAAAATTGAACAACTTTCATGGAGGACTACCCGACCTAACTACAAACATGTACCTTAAATCGTATGCATATCATTCAGATTCCGAGTACTGTACCTTCTTTCGTGGGAATTTGAGCATTCCAAAATCCTCTGATGATACACTGTTATACCTGTCTGTCATTTGAAACATGTTAAAGTTGGCTGATCTACACGAAACTATCGTAACACCGGTCATTTGTCATAAACATAAACATGTACGTTATCACGATGGCGTGACGCTGGATTTGTCCATGAAGTTTCCATCAGGTTGTTCCAAAGAAGACGAGAAATGGAAATTTTTCGATATTTCAGCAGATTTTCGCGTATTCTGAAGGAAAACACTTGATCAGCAGGGATTTGCTAAAGCAAAGGCATAGAAAAAACCAGGAAAGATTTATTACTCGACGTTTCGGGGTCATCGTGACTCCATTATCAAGAGACTAGTTTAAAAACATGCAAATAAGGAAAGGTACAAGAATAGCATAAATTAGACTGAACGGCTTAAATAAACACCTTGGCGCGGATGGAATCCGTTTGCACGTTCAGTGTTGGCTTACGCATGCGAATATACAACATTTCATTAACAAGGCAATCAAATTTGCCGTTACATTTCGTGATGACGTTGAATTGCTCGATCAAGCGTTCAGGCATTTCACTATTGTGCTGGAGGTGGTAGTGTTTGTAGATAGAAGATGATTTCCTTGTGTGCCCTTCTACGCGCTCGTGTAAGTGACCACGAGTATAGCCCACATACCCTGCATCACACAGGTTACATTTAAATTCATAAACGACACATTGTTGGTTAACAATAGGGGGCTTAATTTCGTGTTGCTTAAGCTGTTGATCGAGCTTAGGGCTAACGAACACTGGTTGGACAGTCACGCTTAACTTCGAGCTTAGACTGTTCAGTTGTTGTTTAACATGATTAGCTGACGACTGGTCCTTGAAGGGTAACACTAATCTCACAGTCTCCGATGGTACGTCTGGTGATGGACAGGGTTCTGCAGATGAAATCCTTCTCTCAACGAACCGCTTGATTGTAGTTTCAACCAGTGGCTTTGGGTATTTCAAGTTATGAAAAACCCCTCTAAGGCGGTCACATTCCTCGGAGAAGAAAGACCAGTTAGAAGATAATCGATAAGCGCGATCCACCATGGTGTTAACTAGGCTGCGCTTGTACTTAATGTCAACATGACTCTGGAAATGCAGAAGGAGACCCGTGTTGGTTCTTTTGATGTAGACCTT